GACACCATGGGAGCCAGTGCCTCCTTCCAGCACTAACTGGGCAGCCTTGAGTCGAGAGAGCATGCCATGGAACCAAGGATATCCTGAGAGGGGCTGATCCCCCTCAGCTCCCTCGGACTCTCCCTGGAACAGGAATGACCCTGCAGGAGGAGAGAGAGGGGAAACCAGCTGTCAGAGGTTTCTTCCTAACCTTGTTTTCCCCTTGAGATGCCTCCTTCCCAGACAGGTCACTAGTTGCTCCTGGGTTTGACCCCTCCAGTTCCAATTCAGGACCACAAACCAAAGATAGATACACATGCACCTAATACCTGTGGCTGCTTCTGGAGTATCCAGGGGTGGGTAGGGGGTTGAGAGGGGATGAACTGTCCCTGCTGGGGGTCCCTCCTCAATGGGAATGCGAGGGGGCAATTCCGGAGGAAGCAGTTCCATTGAGTCAAAGTGGGAGGCAGCAATGGAGGCAGAGCTAGGGGAGAAGGACGCTGACGGCCGGTCAGAAAGGCCTCCATAAGCCCCTGAAAGAAAATGGAAGAGGTCGAACTTGAGAACGCCACAGGTTCCTCTCCTAGATGCCTGGGCTCCTACCATCTCCCAGTTGGCTGTCCACTTGTGTGCCCAGCCCCCGCACACCTCTAGAGGACTGACCCTGATGGATTTTTTACGATGGTTCTGACTTACACTGCTTGCACTGCTGAGAGACCATGGTTATTTCGAGGAGGTCCTAGAATCCAAATGTCCCTATGTCTTTTCTGAATCAACAGCTGAAAGATTATTGCAATGGTTGGTAGGGTGAGGGATAGAAGCCCTGAAAAATGTCCATGTTAGAAAGGAGCCCTCTCAGACTAGGATAGAAAACTACCGACTTGAAGCACATCAAAAACTCTTGTCATGAGGTACACTCCTGTACTGAGCTCTCAGAAGGCTGAGGCTGAGGCTTGCAGGTCAGCCTAAAGCACACATAAGAGTTGGGAACACACTTCCGCGACAGAGTGCTTGCCTACCAAGACCAAAGTCCTGGTTCAGTCATCACTGACAAAAGGGGAAAAATCCTCTTTCCCATTAACCCTTTAGGCTGAATCAACTTGGTTTTTACTTTTACTCCCCGTGAGTTTTTTCCTTTAGTCACGTTAGCCTATGTACTTTTCATGGATCTGGTGCTCCATTCTCTTCCCTCACCTCCGTGTAGCATCCTGTCTATTCTATTTCCTTGTTCTCTTCCTCCTGACTTCCCAAGATGCTCCTGGCACGGGCTGCTCAGAGGACACTAAGCAGACTCCTCATTTTGGAGACCCGCTTTTTATTGGAAATAAGGTCTTACCAATTCAGCTACAGAGAACCCAAGGAGACCAAAGACCCCTTTGAAATATCTGAGTTCTCCATCCACTCCAAAGCCTAGCATGCAGCCAGTGATATACTAGGGCCTAACTGAACATCTGCCAAACCTCAGGCCTAAGCCAGCAGACATATCACCATATCGCTTAGAAAACAGGCATGTCAGGAACTAGGTTAGCATAGCCCATCTTTGTCAGAAACCTCAGGAAATCCATTTCCGCCCTGTGGTCTTAGCTACTTGCAATCTGATGTAAGGGCTACACTAGCTCTAGCAATCCCTATCTAAGAGAGCTCTTTTGCTGACTGAATGCAGCTTGAGTACCAGGCACTGTGAAGCTGAAACTCAAAACCAAGGGTCAGGAGAAAAGGGTAAAGTGGAAGCAGAGTCTAGAAGGTGAGTTAGGCCAGACAGATATATATCTTTCTGAATACATGAGTGTTACATCAGACTAAAAGAAAAAGTGCAAAGGCCACTGACATGCTGAGATGCACGACCAGACTCAAACAGGTGTCCACAAGGAACTCTGGAAGCCCACAGAAGAGAACGCACAGACATGCGGCAGCCTGCAGGCTTGCGGAAAAGTCAAAGGGCTGAGTGAAAGAGGTTGGAGAGGGGTTTGGTGGAGCCCATGCACAGCGGTGATAGTAATGGGGCTAAATGGCCAGCAATGACGTAATAGCACATGGTATGCCCAGAGACAAGATACAAGCAGTCAGTAGGCTGTCGGTAGAGCAGCTAGGAAGTAAGAGCCTGGCCCAGTGGCTCTCGAAGGCTCTACCTTACCCTGCGACAGGCGGTCGTTACTCTCGCTGGCTCCCAGCAGCAGATCCTGGCTGGGCAGACTCTCTGAATGATTCAGGCAGGGCAACTCCAGGCTGTCTGTGTTATCCTTTGTGAGGAAGGAGGTCCCGGGGGCCAGGGGAAGGGTCATGGGACGGGGGCTGATAGCAGGGCAGGGTCTACAAAGACAGGGAAAGTGGTGCTGGGGAGAAAATCACCAGGAGAAAGACACAGGCTGCTCCCCTACCCACCTCCAGATCCCCTCCAGCACAGAAGCAAGCTTCTTACCCAGGGCTTAGGCACTCCTGGATGTCAGACACCCAGGCCTTCACATGAAGTGCATCAGTCGTCTCCAAAATGTACTCTGAAGGGCCTTCTACCTACAGGGCCAAGAGGTGGGGCTTCAGCCAGAGCAGGGGGTAGGAGGCCTACAGGTCATACCCCAGAGCCGCAAGCACAGACTCAAAGCCTGTCCTGACATATATTCATCCTGCTGCCAAAGACACGTGCCTAAATCTGTCAAGAGCATTCTCAAGCACAAACACGCTCTGGGGACAGAGCTTAGACCTACCTTAACCACAAACGTGTTCTCCCTGTCTGGCATCTCTAGGGCTGTGGCTGTGCGGACATCAGTGATAGTAGAGCAGGGAATGCTGAGTCGGGGCCGGGAAGCCTAGGTGGGAAAGGGAATAAGAATCGGTCTTTTAGTGTGGCCAAGGCCAGCTGCTCCCCGCTCCGTGCATCCACCTTTCCGGCCTAGGAGAGGTGAAATAGTTAATAGCTGTTTGGTCCACCAAAGACAATTGACTTGAGCCCACAGTTAGCGCTAAATCCCGGGCGGCAACATTGAGTACGTGGGCTTCCAACACCACGGCTATCTACAGAGCCGCACAACCTCTTCAGCCACTGTCACTTCCGGCCACCCACTCTCCTGTGGACTCACCTTGGGTGGTACGAAGAACTCCAAGCGACTTCCTCCTCCTCCTTCTCCTTCACTTCGGAGCAGTAGGCGACACTTCTGCCACTGAGGCTGCCCTCCTCCCCCTGAGGTCAGCCCAGCTGCCCCTCCTCCACGACCCACTCCTGCTGGGTCAGGGGCAGCTTCTTCAGCCCCCATGAAACTGAGCAGCTCTTCTCTCTGTACCATTCCTGCTCCGTCTTTCAAGGCTCCCCCTCCACGGCTCAGTCTCAGCCTCTCAAAGCGGTGAGTCCATCTCTCCCCAGGGGATGTGCCATCACTAGCCAGTCCCCTACCAACTGTCCCAGCACCACCAGAGGAGTTGGAGTTGCTGTTTCCACCTAGGACTGGAGGGCCTGCTGTGGTCTCCAGAGGCCCAGTTGGGGAGGAAGAGTCAACGGCCCCCCGCCACTGCAGGATGCCTCGTACAGAGCCTCTGACCGAGCGACCCACTGAACGTAGGGAAAAGCGTTTCTTGAGTTTCGGCTTTGAGGACGTTGTAGAGGAGGAAGAGACTGAGGAAGGAAGGGGGCCAGCTAGGTCCTCCGAAGATCGAGATGGGCCCAACACAGCCAAGGGCCCACCCACCCTGCAGCTTTCAATGGACAAGTCATGCAGTGGTGCAGTCTCCACACCAGGGCTCAGTGGGGCCAAGACAGGTGGGGAGAGTGAGCCCGAGGCCCGGGCCACCTCAGCTTCGAAGTGCTGCAGGAATAACTCAGCGAAACGGCCAGAAAAGGCAGCTTCTGCTCCAGGCTCTGCATACTGTGGGTGGGAGGCCAGGTAGAGGCGAAAACGGCGGGCAAGATCCAGGGCAGCGGCCCTTGCATGGGACTCACAGAACTCTTGCCAACTTGGGGGAGGGGGTGGTGGCAGCGCTGGCGGAGAAGGGAAGGCCCCATCCTCCGGGGAAGGGGCACCATTCATGATGGGCCCCAGGAGAAGGACAACGGCAGCCTGTGAGGAGGGGCAGCAAAGGAGAAAGTGGCCAGAAGACACGGGGTGAACGGCAACAGCTGTAGAAGGAAGAAAAAAGCATATATATTGAGTCACTGCACAGGTGAGATTGGGGTGTGTCCCGGCCCAAGCTAGGAACTCCCACCCAGATTCCTCAGGGGCAACAGAAGAAGAGAACTAAACTGCTTGGCCCTCGTCAAGATCCACACCCCACATATACTTCAGGGATAAGGGATGTCCAGCCCAATGTCCACCCTGCATCTTTCCTGCTGCCTTTGCTACCACTCCCTCTGCTGTGGAATCCAGGAAAGAGAGGACCTTACAGATCACCACTGTCCCTTCTCAAGCAAAGCCTTCCCTAACTACCACACACTTTCCACAAGGTCATTTTACCATTCCCTGGAAAACTCAATAACCTCTTCGGATGAGGAAAGAGAGACATCAAACAAATTCCAGAATTCAGAGTCAACTGTGTTTTCCACTGCATAGGTCTAGTCTCCAGGAGCTGGCTGGACCAGCCTCAACCACAGCTCCTATTGCTCTGTTCTCAGGGGGCCAACGGGATGCAGAGATTACAGAGCTTGGAGACCTCGCTTCCTAGGCCCAATGATTGTCTTCAAAGCGGATCCTACAACCCAGCACTTAAGCCCTGTATGGAGCTTCAGAGTGTCTAAAGACCAACCCCTGAGTTGCCCCCTTTAGTCTAGGGCTGCCTGGCATAGGAGCACTAGAGAAAAAGAGATGGTGTGTTGGTTGAGGGCAAGTCTTTACTGGCCACATAAGTAAAGCATCATCACAAGAAGCTGGGGCTCAAGACTTTCTCTCTCTGGGGAATATGCCCTAAAGCCTGTAAGACCCGGTGAAGCCCAGCTCAGCCCACCCGTTAGCTGTGTGCACCCAGCTTCTGCATGTGTGAAACATAGCTAGTAATCTCTACCTGCTACAGCTGTCAGGAGACATGAAATGACAGGGTACATGTCTGTGCTCGACACAAAGTAAGCACACAAGACACAACTGTCCTCTTCACGATGTCTTTGGGGGAGAACAGTATTATATGGGTCCTGCTGGCTCTAAGAGAAACTAGAGGGGACAGCTTCTGATGGTGTCACAACTCAGTCACCACGGGAAAGTGGCAGAGATAGGCATGAAATTTACAACCAATGGCTCTTTGGTGAGTGGTCCTGCCCTATGAGAGAAGACAAGATGACTGCCCAGGACAGCTCAGGGAAGTCTCCCCAAACTACCAGTGATGCCCATCTCCTGATCAAACCCACAACCAAGGCTGTAAGTCAGAGACCCTCCTCCCTATCCTCTTTGGCCTAAGCCCTACACACTCCGGTGGCCCCAACCACAGGGACAACTCCAAACCAGGGAGTAGCTGCCAGGAGATGCGGGAGTCACAGAGCACAGGGGAACCGGGCCAAGAGGTGCAGGCACAGCAGAGACAGTCCCCAGCCAGAGGCTACCGCGGCTCACACAGGCCCACCCAGCCCTCGGCACCATTGGCCGACCCAGCCCCCTTCAGGCCCGCTGACCCTGCGGTTCCTGGACTGGTGACTCAGTTTCTCTTCTGCCAAGAAGGCTCAGTCACAATTTCCCGGTGCACCTGCCTCTTGGCTTAGTTCTGACATTCCAGAAGGGCGGGTGGCGGAGGGTGCAGGCTGCGCTCCACGGTTGGACCCTTCAGGCCCAGTGGTCAATCACTCAGACCCGATCCTAATCGCTGGACACCCTCCACATACCCCGAGGCCGGAGACTCCGGGGGACGAGCCCTATCTGCTGCCCTCTCCGGAGCCAAGCACCCCTCCAGCTCCGAACCCCCACGCCCACCCCCGCCCAGGTTCCTCAGGCACCAGGGTCGAGTCCCGGAGAGAATAGAGACACTTGAATAGGGGGGGTTCCGGTTCCGGTCCCACCTGCATCTCGGTCCCCGCGCTCAGCTCCGGCGGCGGCGGTGGCGGCGGCGGCGGCCGCAGCTCCCGCTCCCTGTGCCCCCCGCCTCCGCGACGAGCTTTCAGCACGCGCTTCTGCGCAGGCGCCGGGACGGGTTTTCCCGACGCGGAAGGAAGCGACCATAGAGAAGAGCAGAGAGAGGGAGGGCACCTACGTGCTCACTTCCGCCATCGTTCTCGGCGCAGAACTTTGAGGCACTAGCCTGACGCGGGTCTCACCGAACTCCGTGGCCTCTGCAGTTGTAACTAAAAGAGATCACTGAGACAACTGTGGGAAGGAGTTGGGTCCCGGCCGATCATCCTCTGAAGCGAATTCGAGGCAAAGGCGAGAAGGCAACCATAGAGAAGGCACCTGAGCGGAGAGAGTAGCCGCCCAGTACGGGGAATCAGCGAGATGATAAAGCTCTTTGAAGAGCTGGCTGCAGCCTAGAGCGCCTGGCCCTGCACTGAGGGGGACACGGACACCGCCCCCAGGGAGTTGGGCGACCGAAGAACCGGTGACCTTGGGAAGCCGAAAGAGCGGGTGAAACCTGAACTTACAACCTTGGCTTTTCAGAGGAAAGGGACGAGGTGGTCCAGAAGGGCTCCACCTTAGGTAGGACCTAAAGATGGGGCGGCAATAGCGAGGCCAGTTTCAGACATGCTTGGGGGATATCAGGAGGTACGTGGACATAGAACTTGAAGATCAAGCGACTCTTCGCGTTACAGGGAAGAAGACCAGAGGGTACAAAACGCTGTTGAAACCTTGCGCACAAATACTCTCTAGCAATCCAGGCTCGCGCTGATCTAGCTTCACTACGGTTTTAGCAATTGAAAAAGCCGGAGTAAATTGCGATCGTTGACCGGGGCCAAAAGTTACCGCTCATCTGTAACTCACCGTCTGTGATTGTACTTTTCTCATGCATTTGTCTTCACCCACAGACCGGCTCTTGACTGTTGGTGGCAAGATAGCTTTTTGTCCGTATTCAAATAAGTCCTGATAGCTTAGTAACTTAGTTTAAGGAGCATCCCTCATTTCTGAGATCTCCGATAAAATTTCCAGAACCAGGCTAGTGAGATGACTCGGTGGATAAAAGTGCTTGTGTTTGCTCTGCAAGCCTGATGACCATAGTTCTATCCCCAGAACACACTGTAGAAAGAGAAAGGACGCTGGAAAGGTGTCTTCTGATCTCCCACATGCCTTACATGCTGTGTGTCGTAGTCCGCCCCCGCCTCCCCCATATACACATACACACAATAGTAATGATAAAAATTTAAATAAATTACGGGGCTGGGAAGAGAGCTAAATGATTAAGAGCACTAGCTGCTCTTGCAGAGGACCCAGGTTCAATCCCCAACACCCACATGGTGGTTCAGAACTGTAACTCCAGTTCCAGGGAATCGATGCCCTCTCACGACCTCCACAGGGATACACAGGCAGGTAAAACACAACTAAAATAAATAAATAAATAATATTAATTAAAAAAAAAAACTTAAGCCGGGAAGTGGTGGTTCATGCCTTTAATCCCAGCACTTGGGAGGCAGTTGGATCACTGAGTTCGAGACCAGCCTGATCTATATAGATCGAGTTTCAGGACAGTCAGGGCTACACAGAGAAACCCTGTCTTGAAAAAAGTAATTAAAAACTTCCAGAGCCAACTAGCTGACTGGATCAAGTGCCATCTTGGAACCCAGAGGCGAATGACCCAGAATATGGAGATGGGTAAGGGGCCTGTCTCACTCACATAAAGAAATGTTGATGGCTCTGTGGTTAAGAGCACTGACTGCTCTTCCAGATTCAATTCCCAACACCCACATGGCAGCTCACAGCTGTCTGTAACTCCAGTTCTAGGGGATCCAGCACTCCCATACAAACATACACTGCAGGCAAAACAATGCACTAAAAATAAATGTTTATCTAAGGGTGCCACCCCACCCGCATGGAGTTAGAAAGTCTTAGAAAAAACAAGTTCTGGCTTTTTTTCTTTTTTTTTGATTTTGTTTTGTTTTGAGACAGGGTTTTTCTGTGTAGCCCTGGCTGTGCTGGATGAGAACTCGCTCTGTTGACCACACTGGCCTTGAACTCACAGAGATCCACCTGCCTCTGCCTTCCCCTGCCTGCATGGCTTTTGTTTTTTTTTAATATTTATTTATTATGTATATAATTTTCTGTCTGTGTGTATGCCTGAAGGTCAGAAGAGGACACCAGACCTCATTACAGATGGTTGTGAGCCACCATGTGATTACTGGGAACTGAACTCAGGACCTTTGGAAGAGCAGGCAATGCTCTTAACCGCTGAGCCATCTCTCCAGCCCGGCTTTTTTTTTTTTTTAAAGATTTAAAAAAAACTTGTTATGTATATGTGTGATTTGCATGCATGTACAGTGCCCTCAGAGACCAGAAAAGGACATCAGATGCCCAGGAACTGGAGTTACTCTTGGATTTGACCACCATGTGGGTTCCAGGAATCAAACCTGGGTCCTCTGCAAGAGCATCAAGTACTCTTAACGACTGGACTTTCTCTCCAGCCCCATGGCTTAGCCAGTCTTAAATCACCCAGGCTGTAACCCAGACCATCAGCTCACAGACACCTTTGTTGGGATCTTATTACCAGGATTGTCCAACTCTTACCACTTCAAAGGAAGAGCCAATGAAGGGGTTCCCTTTCCTGTGGTCCGCAGACCATACCCTCCCTCTCCCTGTAGTTTACCTGTCCATCATCAACAACAGACATGGTTCCAGAATACAGAAGAGGAAAGGACTGTTGATAAGTTAGGATGTGTTTGGATATGTTGTGTCTAAATTGTCCCAGCTTTGGGGGGAGGGGCTGCGGGGGAGTCAAACCCAGGGCCTGGAACATACTAGATATTTAAGTTACTTCCAGCACCCAATCAAATTTCCAAAATGATTGAAATATTCTGATATTGTAGTCACTTGGTCATAGATTTGGTTTGGTATGATCAACAAACTGGTTATTTTGTATGAGGGTGATGAATCTCCTGGAGTTGGAGTTACAGACAGTCGTAAGCTGCCATGTGCGTGCTGAGAATTGAACCGTGGTCCTTTGGAAGAGCAGCCAGTGCTCTTAACCTCTGGGCCATCTCTCCAACCCCTAAACTGAAGTTTTTTGTTTGGTTGGTTTTGTTTTGATTTGATTTTCCAGATAGGGTTTCTCTGTGTAACAGTCCTAGCTGTCCTGGCAGGCTGTTCTTTGTGGGTTTGAGGTTAACCTGGTCTATGTAGCTTCAGGACAGCCAGATCTACATTGGTGAGACCCTGCCTCAGAAGAACAAAAACAAACAAACAAAAAAACAGAAACAAAAGAAAATATAGTTACCTGTAGTTAGTATAGCTACTCGATAAACAGGGGAAGAGTTCTGTGCAAGCAGGTGGAGCTATCGAGTAGAGCTGGAGTCACAGTCGGAGTTGTGCAAAGCAGCTTGCTGATCAGACATTGGACATGGAAGAGACTGGGCCCAGGGCCTCTGTAGAACAGTAAACATTTAACAGGAAGCCACAGAAGAAGAAAGCTGGGTCCTGTTTCCCAGGAACATTAGAAATGAGATCTGTGTGATTTGTTCAAAGAGGAAGAGGGGCAAAGGAGCACCCTGCCCCAAAAGTGGCTAAAAGAAACCAGGGAGCCTGGTAAGCATGTGGTGCCAGTGAGCGAACAGTTGATTTGCATCCCATAAGAGAATACAGGATATAAATTATTCCTCAGGTTTGTGCAGCCATAGGAGAGCTAGGCCTTTTGCAAATCAACCTCCCTGAGCCACTAGTCCAAGGCTGCCCTGGAAGGTGTCAGTTCCCAGGCCCTTGTGCTAAAGCAGAGGCTCCAGTAGCTGAGTGTGTCCCTCAAAATATATGAATAATATAAATTGAGCCAGGCAACATGGCTCATGCCTGTTATCCAGGCACTAGGGGAGGCTGATGGAGAAAGAATGAGATGAGTTTGAGACCAGCGTGGACTTCTGTTTTCAAGAAGTGAAGCCAGGCATAGCGGCACACAGCTTTAATCCCAGCATTCTGGAGGCAGAAGAATCAGGGCTCTGTGAGTTGGAGGCCACCCTGGTCTACATAGAAATTTCTGGGTCAACAGGAGATGCATAATAAGACTGTCTCAAAACTAACTAAATTGGGAGGCTAAAAAGATGGCTCAGCAGTTAAGAGCACTGGCTGTTCTTCCAGAGCACCTGGGTTAATTCCCAGCACCAGTATGGCAGCTCAAAGTGATCTGTAACCCCAGTTCCAGGAGATCTGACACCCTCACACAGATGTGCATGTAAAACACCAATGCACATAAAATAAAAATAAAATAATCTTTAAAAAAAAAAAACTAACTAAATTAGCTGGTTTGGCGGTTCATACCTTTAATCCCAGCAACCAGGAAGCAGAGGCAGATGGATTTCTGTGAGTTTGAGGCCAACCTGATCTATAGAGAGAGTTCTGGACAGTCAGAGCAACACAAAGAAACCCTGTCTTAACAAAACCAAACCAAACAAACAAAAAAACTAAATAAGACTAGAAAGATGATTTAAAAAAATGAGAGTAGTTGCTTTTCTTGAGGACCTGGGTTCAATTCCTGGCACCCACAAGGTGGCTCACAACCATCTGTAATTCCATATATACATACACACGGGCAAAAATACATACACATAAAATAAATACTGAAAAAAAAATCCAGGTGTGATGGTACACATCTTTAATCCCAGCAGAGGTAGGGGCAGGCAGATGGCTGTGAGTCCTTTTTGTTTGTTTGTTTTAGATTTATCATGTATATGTTAGGAATAATCTTTTTTGTTCTTTTTTTAAAATATTTATTTATTTAATTAATATGTGTACAATATTCTGTCTGTGTGTATGCCTGCAGGCCCGAAGAGGGCACCATACCCCATTACAGATGGTTGTGAACCACCATGTGGTTGCTGGGAATTGAACTCAGGACCTTTGAAAGAGCAGGCAATGCTCTTAACCTCTGAGCCATCTCTCCAGCCCCCAGGAATAATCTTAAAATAATCCTCTCCGCCAACACAAATAATTCCAATCAGACCAGATTAGACAAAATCAATGCCCATGTTTAGTGCAGCACTCCAGGGTGGCTGGAGAACATGGTAGGGGGAGAGAGAGAAACGGAGGGGGCACGCAAAACCCGAAAACCATGTGTTCTTTTTCTCGGTGGCAGCCTAAATAGCCTGTGGGAGTGGTCCTGACTCT